AAAAAAAAAAAAAAAAAAAAAAAAAAAAAGGGAAAGACTGAGCTTTCGCAGTGAAAGGCTGCATTATTCGGCAAGTAGTCGTGGATGTTTTTATGTCCTTCAATAAAATTTTTACGAGGATCATTTGATTGTTCATAAATGTGTCGTTCATTAAATAAAACCGTAGGACTGAGTTTCAGCTCCATAGCTGAGGCTGAGCGAGCTTTTGCGTATCAGGAGGAAGCAACACTGTGTGTTGGGCAGATGGTGGTTCTTATTTTTCTCTTTTTTGGTTAACGCCTGGAAACTTTTCTTTTTGCACCAAATCGATTGAAGGAGTTGGGAGCGTTAAAAAATCGGTGATAGCCTGCCTGCATTTTGAGAGAATAACCTTTCCTTTGTAAGGAAAGACAGGTAGGTAAATAGCTCACGCCCATTGGAGTCTGAAAGAAGGGAGTTAGGCGATTTCTCTGGAAGAAAACAAACAAAAAAATAAGAGACCTAACCAAAAATAGCCTCTCATGATTTTTTTTTTTAGAAAGCGAACCCCCCAAAAGATGGCTTGTTTGGGCTCTCCAGGGCTCTCCATCACCTCGGGTTTTCTAGGGCTGGGGGGACGTGGAGGGAAATGGTCAAAAATTGCAAGAAGAAGGAAAAATGTGGGCTCAGAAAGCGGTGGGGGTTCCTCCCCGGGAGAGGCAGGCAGGCAGGGGGTGGGCAGGGGGTCTCCAGTGAGGCAGCATTCACCAGTGACAGGCGTTACGTACGGTCTCTGCGAGTCCCACGGACGGACGCATGGGAAATGCGAGCAGGAGGAGAAGAGAGCTTAAGGCAGATTCAGGGATAAAGAGGAGAGATGCTGCCAGGAGACCCCCCAGCCCCTCCAAACTTACCCCCCTCAGCTGAGCCAGGATCAAACCCTGCACCTCAATTCACAGGGCTCGAGGAAAAACCAACAAAAAATGAAGGCACAAGGCTGCCCCGGCTGCTGGGGGAAATAGGATTTCCCCCTCGAAAATCAGGGAAGGCTTTAAAGGAAAAATATGACGGGGGGTGTTTGTCAAGGGAGTCCGGATTTTCCAAATTCGAAGAGAAAAGTCCTCGACTCGCTCCCCCACAGAATTTATTCCTCGTTCCGTTTTAAGTCCCCTGCTTTATGTGAGCCCTTAAAGGGAAATATTCCTGCAGGAGCAGAATGTCTTCTTTGGCCTTTATCGAGACCAATTTATCTGTCAATCACCAGTCTCCAATGACGGTTATTTTTATGTTCGCGAGAAAAATATATATATATATGCTCATCATTCTTTTATCTATTCCCATTTTAAAAATACTTACTCTGCAGGGCTGCTAATATAGTGGGCTGTGACATGTGGAGGGGAAAAAGCAGTTTGGCTTTTCTACTTTGGGGGAATATTTTAAAGAGGATCCTTACAAAAGAAGGGTTGTCTGCAGGCGTAGATGCAGAAGGGGAGAGGGAGAAAGAAAGAAGAGGCAGAGGGAGAAGGAGGGAGAGAGAAAGGAAGGACTGGGCATGCAGAGGGAGAGAAGCACTGAAAAGCAGAGGCAGTGGGGAGGTTTTCCAGAGGGGAAAAAAAAAAAAATAATGTCAGAATATACCACAGGCGAACCGCAAAACGAGCAGAAATTACCAAAGCCACGCAGTTATAATAAGTAGCAGCAGTTTTTTAACCTTAATGCGAGCAGGCAAGGTCACTAAATTAGTCGTGGATGGTGTATGTTGGTGTTACACAAAGGCAAACGTATCTGGCAAAGATTTCTTTTATTTGCACGGAAACTGCACACCCGGAATTATTCACTCCCCGTGCCGTCGTGGGATCTTAAATAAAACAGAAGATAGCGTTTGTAGCACAAACCCCTTCCGTGCAGGGGCTGCTGGTCTCTGAGAATTGAGCAGTACAAAGCAGAGATGGAGACACTTCACCTTAAAGCAAGCTAAAGGCACGGCTTAAGACTAAAGACACAGCTTAAGACTAAAGACGCAGCTTAAGACTAAAGACACGGCTTAAGACTAAAGACACGGCTTAAGACTAAAGACACGGCTTAAGACAACGTTTTCTCTGCCGCAGAATCCCGCAACACGATGTGAACCCACATAAAATATTGTCTTTTCACGCTTATCTCGACATGAAACCATCCCCGTGGATGAATGCAAAGTTATGTGGGTAAAGTCCACTCAGAGTGCAGGGCAAATAAAGCAATATCCTGAAATATTCTTCTTTTCAGTGGCAGGGTCTCCAAGCAAATATCCAGACTGGAATTAAAACACGCCTTGCTATTGAATTCAGCAGCTACAAGGTTATCTCGCAGCTTTTATGCACGCTCCAGCTAGACTCCTGTGCCTCCACAAAAGCTTCGGTGCTTGTTTAAGGGGAGATTACCTCTTCTGAAATGATGGTGAACTAGCACATCCCTTCCAGGCAGACTAATATCTTTTCCTCTCACCTCCCCTTTTGAATCTGCGGGGGAAAGAAACTTAATTGCATTGAGCCAAAACTAACGCTAGCAGTCCACAAGCTGCATGAGTATTTATATATATATTTTTTTTTCAAGGCGGAGGGGAGGGAAAAAAATAATAATAAAAAAGGAAAGTCGAGTCGCAAATGAGGAGGTCACAAAAAATCACAGCCTTTGTCTGAGCACTGTCCTGGCTAGCTGGCTTCTGACACCTTTTCGGAGCTAAATGCTTCCCATGTTCGCCCTGCTCCCTGCAAGTGCTGTGTGTGCTCAGCCCGAGCTGCATCCCTGCCCTGTGCGCGCAGCCAGGCTCTTTCCCCACTTCCAAATCTTTTGCTTTCGCTTTGAGAAATTCTCCCCTGATTGGAAGGAACGGAGACAAAAAAATAACCCTAATAAAAAAAAAAAAAAGACAGAAGAGGGAGAAAAAAAAAAAAAAAAAAAAAAACAATTTTTGGAAACCCCCCCCCCGGGGGGACACCGCTTTTTTTGGGGTTTTTT